GGGTTGATTTAAGTATCTGTTTGGTTACATAAGAGCAACACGTAATGACTCTGTGAAGTAACCGTCACAATATATACAAACTAAAACCAGAAAAAGGGCAACAGCATAGTATCACGAGTAATAATAATGAAGCACATATCGAAAGGAAAGAGTTGAGCAGTGGTATGAGAACCATTACAACTGCCCGCTGCTTGTGATCACGCTAAATGGAGACACAGCTACATTCGTACGGCATTTTCATCGACATTTGCCGTGTAGGGGAGCAGGCAGGGGGAAAGGGCTTATGGTGTAAATTTGGCTTCCGGGCATTGTAATTAACATGGACTGCTAATTAACAGGGTATTAACAGGGTATGATAATAAACAGGATATTAACAGGGTATTAACAGGGACTACTAATGAACAGGGTATTCACAGGGTATTCTAACCTGGAAATGTGCAGGACGAAGAAGGCAGCCGAGGGTGAGAGCCTCGGCATTCATACGGCCAGGGTGACTCAGAATGTTTATTTAGACTGGAGGAATCCGATGAGCTTGGAAGCTCTTCATCACAGATGTCCAGTGTGCAGCTGGATCTCAGTACGCGCTACCAACGGGAGAGCACCGCCGGCTTTACCTGGAGCGGTCGGCGACGTGGAGAAATGGGGGGGGGGGTATCACGGCTCAATTTTTTCACGGTTGCGGCTTTATTGAAAACAGAATTTTAGGAAAATGTGCTGAGCTGATGAATGGAACTGAAGTTTAAAAAAAATGTTTGCAGCAAAAGTTTCGTCTGATCTGGGGAGAGAACAAAAAAATTAACACAGGTGTTGTCCAGAGGGCTGGATAGTTTCTAACCCTGCTCAAATTCCCGAGGAAATATAGTGTGTCCTAACAGCCACACGCTGCACACACGTTTTCTTTCCAATGGGGGTTGGCTGGCTGGGGGGGGGGGGGGGGAATAATTTAGCATTAAATTTCCCAATTCGTGTAATGATTTTTTTTATTCTTAAAATTATTAAAAGGTAACTTAATTTTCTTAATCCAGGCAAAGTCTTGCTAACGCTCAAGACTCTTTCAGGAGGATGTTTCATGGCTTCCTTAGAGTAGAATTTTTGCACGTGGGAGGAGGCTTAGAGGACTCGCAAAAAGCCAGTTCGCCAAAAGGAAAACAAAGTAAATGCGCAGCCCTGCAATATCTCGCTCACGCACAAGGTGCCTCCAATAGGCGGTGCTCTAGAGCCCCGCCAGAGGACATTTTGGCCTACTCTTCCACGTTCTCCAGACGTACTGGAGCAGGTGCACAGAAATAGAACTCAAAACTCTTAACGAACCTACTGGATTCTTCAAAAGACGATATAAATGAGGAACAACCTACTTGTTGTACTTGCCACCTCCCGGTGACTCGCAGTGTAGCAGTTTGGTAGTCTCACAGAACGCATTGACGAATTTCGTGCGCGAGTCACTAACCCCATTTCAAAACGTTACAATGCAGAGCTTATGCCACCGCACCAACATCAACGTTTTGTACGTGCATGATTTTCTTAAAAGACGGCCAATTTCAAAAAAAGATATGCATCGAGTCAAAACAATGACTTTTGCTTGCACACTCCGTGACACGCTGTCAGGGTTTCCATGAAAGTAGCAAGCCAAATAATAGACCCCCCTCCCGGGGATAATGCTGCATAAACCGTTGTAATAAGATGCCCGTTCATAGGGGTACTCAACATCACACATCACACGCTCATGGCACATTTTGGCCCAGGCATTCTCCCTCAGATCAGGCCCCATGTGTTGCTGGCTCATGCGACTGGCATTCCGATTTATGTAATGCAACAATGCCAGACAACGTGGTCTCATTCACGAGCAAGGGTTACGTCGGTCAGATTCGCCAGTCGTGGCATCTGAGTGTTAGCTGCTTGTCCGCTTGCAAGCTGAAAATGTTGAAGGTTAAATTTCTGATAATTTTTGTTGTTGCTGATTTTCACCAGCCAACTGTGTGTTGCAAGGCGTTTGTTAATTGCTCTGTGGCGTCGTTCCCAACTATAGCGCACTGTGTATATACATGTCGAACTTATTTCCCGCCGTACGTGGCCAAACGTGCTAATCGGGGGTGTGCTCCCGTATCTAAACTAAGACTAAACTAAAGCTAGTTTTTATTTTACCGGGTAAGGCCCACTGAGCTATAGAACTCTTTTTCAGAAACGACCTGGCCACAAATGATAGCTCAACGAAGTGGCTTATCACGTGGAAGTGTATATAGCAGCAGCTAAATACTCTAAACGCACGTTTGTCTGAGCTAAAGGGCTTGGAAAAATAAAAAAAACTCACACTGACATTGAGGTTAATGTCGCCCATATATAACTATGCTACTTCAATGCAGATATCACTGCTCAGTGAAATCACAACCAGACGGTTGCAAGTAGATCTGGGCTATTTAATTATATGAGTGATTGTTTTGCCCGATCGATTTTCGTTCGATTAATGCTGGACAACGTGAAATTAGTTGAGTGAATAAAAAGTATCATCTATCTCCCCACGTGTGTCACTCGATGGGAAGTGATGGACAGGCATCATCAACCCCGTCACACTTGGCCTGACCTTGAAGGGTTTCCTGCCTTCATGAGGCAGAGGATGTTGGTGCGTGCGGAATATTTCAAGGGGCCTCAGTATTCAACCACAAAAATTAGTCGATGACAATTTTTTTGTAGATTCATTCTGCTCGCGTGTGGCTGAACGGAACAGGTCATAAGGCAGTTTAGGTATTAAGATACACTGCATTGACGCGGTGTTTGTTGAAGCCGTGTGTAGCTCCTCCATTGCTCTCCTGAGCGACCGTGTGTGGGGCAGTGGTTGAGCACACGGTCCACGGTTTGCCGCGCAGAGCCACAGTCTAAACCGAGGCTCATTTTTTGTTACATTTTCCACTTTTACGATTGAGCCGCGGTCCCATGGTTGTTTGGTCAGATCGAATCGGGGGGGGGGGGAGTTCCTGTGGCGAGGGGGGGGGGGAAATGATTCCTCTGTTGTAGGTGCTCATATTCTTGGTTCTTTCGGTGAAGTCACATTGATAGAAAATAAAAATAGGCCTGATGAAGACCGCTTGTGTTGCGATCGAAACGTCGTGGGTTTTTTTTACCTTTATTTTTACATTTATTTTTAATTTAATTTAATTTATTTTTATTTTCTAGCTACGTGACTTTACCGAAAGAACCAAGAATATGAATTCCTGCAGTCACGAAAGTTTTAAGTCAAAATCTGTAGGTGCTCCTGGCCATAACTCTCTGCTCGCCAGCGTTCCACATGGTCAAGCCAGGAGGTTTCGGGTGCCTTCACTCGGGACCAACATTGGTTTCCAGGATTTGAGGTGGGCTATCGGTGGGTTCTCAAGCTCCTCCTCCTCCTCTCGCACTCTCGCGTCGACAGCGCGGGCTTCAGTTTTACCCCTTGAGTACTCGGTGGAAGTTTGAGCCTCTCTGCGGATATGCGGCGGTGTGACGTGAGCCAGGACTGGATGCCGTTGGGTGGGCATCGAATTTCAATGAATCGACTTGGTTGCAAGTTCAAATCCTGTTCGAGGGGTCTAATCAGGTCACCGTCTAGTCAATGTGGATAAAACATTAGTTTGGCATTGTAGGAAATTAACGGTAGTTTTCCTTAAATTTCGATTTAAAGCTTTCGTGACTGCAGGGATTCATCTTCTTGGTTCTTTCGGTAAAGTCACGTAGAAGGGAAATAATAAAATAATAAAAATAAAACATAATAAAATAATTCTCACGACGTTTCGGCCACAACGCAAGCAGCCGTCCTCAGGTGAAGAACAGGTCTGTCGGAAAGACAGTGTCTGAATGAATTCATCCACCTGAGGACGGCTGCTTGCGCTGTGGCCGAAACGTCGTGAGAATTATTTTATTATGTTTTATTTTTATTATTGTATTATTTCCCTTCTACGTGACTTTACCGAAAGAACCAAGAAGGTAGTTTTCCTGTGAATAAACTGGGTCCTATCACAAGGATGTAACATTTCTGCCCCTTGATATGAGCACTGCCTGGTGTGTTCATCTGAGCTGTATTGGACTCTTGGGCAATCATTGTTAGTAGATATTCATTAATGCCGGCACAGAGTGACATAGCCAACATCACGGATGTCCAGCTCCCTTCGTGTTTCCTTTTGTGACCTTTAAGACCACACCAGGTACTCATTTTAGATGGAGGGTCCTCTTTCGGTCATAAAAGCCAGGTTCAAATTTCAACTCCTGCTGGTGTTTTCCATGACCAAGAATTGAACTTGATTATACGTAATGCAGTACACTCACCACTCAAACCACTGTTCCCCACGTAAACATGGAAGCTTAAATATACGAGTTGCCATAATGCGCGCACAGAAGAATGCCAAATAGCAGAGCAATACGCACACAAAACACTCACACACACACACGCGCGCGTGCGCACACACAATCGACCAGCACAATGATGGAGCAATCATCCACTGTTTTTAAGTCAGGGAACGCAAAAGAGGAATTTGCGGGAATTAATGGGAGCGGGTTTCTGCGGGGTTGCGGTGATTTTAACTGGGCCGGCCGAATATGGGAACTACAGTTTGCGATTCGAGATGGCTGAAAGCGGATCCCCAGCTGCCGTTATTAGCCCCGTTATTGGCTTTGCTTAAAGAGAGTGCGCCCCCACACCACCCCTCTCTTGCCCCACCACCACCAGCACCCTGAAACCCTCGCTCGAGTTACCCACATTTAGCAAAGTGATTGCAGGGCAGCGGCAGCGGCAGTATTCTGCTACCGCCGCTCGCCAATCAACGCGCGGGCAAAGCCCCCTGAGCGCAGCGGGCCAGGGCAGGCAGCGGCTCCCACAGCAAAGCTGTCAGAAATGTGCGAGCCCCCCCTCCCCCCCAGAAGAAATGATATCTGACCTCCACCCCACACATTTTTTTTGTTTCTCTCTCCCTCTCTTTTCTTCCCCTGCCCCCCCTCCTCCTCTTCCTCCCCGCGCCTTGTGTGTGTTTTCGCAGGGGCCGCCAGGTCCAAGAGGCGACAAGGTACGTGAATTGAAGCACATGGCCTCGAGCCTCCGCTCGTGCGGGGGGGTCCCTTGTTCATCCCGAGGTCTAAGCAATGAATAGCGCGTGATTTATACCGCGAATTAGCCGTTGTGCTGTTGTGTTAAACGATACACGCCAAGGTGAAAGGCCGGGTGCTCGGTACGGGCAGAAGCCCACAAAGCTCTGTGGAGTTCGGCAAAGCGCCGCTGCTGCTGCTGCTGTTTATATTCGCCGCCGTGGCTAATGGCCGAGCGTCACCGTAGTAAAGTGCTCGACTCGCAATAGGAAGGATCTGACTTCATATCCAAAGTGGGGAATGACTGACTGACAACCCATCCTCTACCCTCCCCCCCCACTTCCCCAGGGTTGATAAAGTGAGTAGCGATTTGGGGGAAGTCAGAATGAGTACCCTGCTTTCTTGGGAAGGAATGTAAATCAGTGAAGCATATTTTGAGCGCGGTCGTTTGTGTATTTCTGAAGTTAAACTTTGCATAAAGTCTCACATGGGCCCAGCAGCACGGTCGATAGTTGATTCCGCTATGAACCAGGTTGTATGATTTTGATTCCTGGCCAAGGCCAACTTCAGTGGTAAGTGCTCTCTGCTACTGGTCACGCAACGCCCCCCCCTCCCCCCCCACCTTTATCAAGCTGCACTGACCAGCATGGTGACGTACGGTCAAACAACTCCCATGACCGACAGAGCATGGGAAGTTGTTGGACCAGCATGATCACTAAACCGATATACTAAATATTAATACGCGCGCGCATGTAACACATACGCAGCCGATCTTGAGTCGATCAAATGAGTACAACTGTGTGGGAAGCGAAGAGTGGCTGTCATTTTGTGGCCAGACTGATTCCCAAGTCAGGAATGTGAAATTTCCATTTCGGTACAATGACCATCAATGGAAATGCGGAATGATGGTCAAATTGGTTTTTGAGGACACTCCTGAGGTTTGCATTTCGCATTTCTCAAATGAGTGGCGTATAGTCTTAGCATTCAAGTAAAAAGGGGCTTTTGTCAATAAAATCTAAATAATGCCGGGACAAATATTGACAAGTTGTATTTTTCTCCCAATACGATGCATTTTAGGGCCCAGTGAATAAGAAGAACGATATCTTTCGACCGTTTGTGTCACTCTAGTTGTTGAATGTTAATTATTCTTCCAAAATGTAAACATGGTCTTAACTTTTTTTTTGTGGCCCGTGATCAGTGACGAATTTATTGGCCAAAAAATGCAACGGAGAAACGCGCGCACTCGCGCTGAGACCCGATTCACAAACTCAGCAGCCGTGATTTATTTCTGTGTGCGTAAGCGCAGCTCGCAGAATGTGTCTGCAAACAATCAGGCGATCGAGTGGCGGGCTGCCTGGCAATCGGTCTCCGCATTCTCGATGATTGCGGGGTGCAGGTGTGGCTTTTTACGGCGCTCTCAAAGCTCATGCCTCCTACGAGCCTCTCAGTGGGCCCTCCGCAATAGCCACTTACCGGTCGTATCGTTATCATCATCATCATCATCCATTCAATCATTGATATCTTGATACATTCAAACGATTGGGCCACATGGCAGGTGTCATGACAATGGAGTTTTAGAAGCCTTGGTGCTGAAGGTGAATTGTTTGAAGCCAGTAAGTTCTGCTTAGCTAAATGGTGGTTGTTTTAAATTGTTATCATTCACGAGTTCTGCTGTGATGAAACTAAAACTGCTAAACTATTTTGGTTTATTTTACCAGCTAAGGCCCACCGAGCTATATAGCTCTTTTTAGAAGCGACCTGGCCACAAATAATAGCTCAACGAAGTGGCTTATCATGTGTACATTTATAGCAGCAGCAAAATACTCTAAACGCATGTTGATTCTAAATGTGGAGGGAAAAACCGGAGGATCCGGTGAAAAATCCATGCGACCATGGGAAGAACGTGCAAACTTCAAATGTACATGCCTCAGGGTCAGGACCGAACCCATGACCTGTATCCTAAGTGCAGTAGTTAACATCTCGCCACTAGGGTACCCCCAAACAGAAGCATTTACTCTAAAGAAAAACCTACATAACCCTACAAGGAACATGAAACTTGAATCGTGTAGAAATAAGGAAACTAACAAACGTGGCGTTAAATTTACATTGCACCTCAAAAGTACGTTGGTCTGTAATTCCATTTCAACGCTATTTGCTTTATTCAGCCAGCCGCGAGCGGGTCGCGACGCCCCGCCGGACCGCTGTTTGTAACGTGAGAATGGATCACAGGGCCTTGCTAGTGTTTCTGATCATTTGTGACTGGAGCCCCAAAAAATTCCACGTCCTAATTTCAGGGATGATTTACCTTCTGCCTCTGGGCCCATGTTATTGCCCCAGTGAGCGGTGACGTCACGTACAGGAGGCATGGCCTTTGACATCGTGCTCTGAAATCGCGGAGATCGCAAGCATCTTAATTTCGTCCGCGACTGCTTTGCTTCAACGGCACATGGGGTCGTAAGTTTTGTGGCCTGTTACAACAACATGGGCAGGCCAACTTTGTCACTGAGATCATACTATAGGCTGCAGGAGCACGTGTCGCATTGTAGCATTAATTTTCATGTAGAAGCATTTCTCTGTCTTCATCGACCAATATCCTTCCACGGTCTGTCTGACCACAATTATTGGAATACTCCCTTCCACTGTGCAAATAAGTAAGTGACGTGTCTGCTTGTTTAATAGTCATTCACAACTGGGGCTTAACAAATGAATGTAAGTTAAACTTTGGATTTATATATTTTTTAATGATTGCACAGTTGTTCAAACCACTGGGCTGTCAAGTCACACGCATTGCGTGTAACCCCTTCACTCGCACGCACGCCAACGCGCGGACTTAGCACGCATATTGCCCCCCCACCGCCCCCCCTTAGACAGACACGCCGACACACGATCGTACGAAATTCACACGCAAACACACACATACATACGCACATACACAAACCAGCCCAATAGTCCACGCCAGCAGCCCCCTCTTCCTTTCGGCCAAAACAATTTGCAAGGTCACATTCACTGATTGGTTCTCATAGTAAGACCCAACTGGTAAATCTCATGCATTGGCAATCCACACACACGACAGCCCTGCAATCACAAGTCTTCATCTCCACAGCCAGTGGTGTAAATTCCCCATTCCAATGACAAGGGCCAGACAACTGCTGGCTACCGCATGAAATGGTGACCATGAAACTTAGTCTGATGTGGGGAGACCACAATTCGAACACAGGTTCTCAATGCTGCTGACAGACGAGTTTTTAATTAGCTTATGTATGCTACAAAGAGTGTCCATCGTACGACAATCGAACCACAGCTGAAATTATGCCGAACGAATTTTAATTCAGCTTTAATATGCGGTCATTGTAGTTGCAGCGCTTAGCACACAATCCAGGTTCCATTCCCGCTTATGGCCAACACCAGTGACGATTATCTGAACCAGTCCTGAGCCTCCCCTAGGTCGACTCAGCCTCATTGGAGTACCTGGTGCGTTGTGTAAACATCGCCCAGAAGGAGACAAAGGCGTGGTGCTGGCCACCCACCCCCTTCGTGTGCCGTGCCGGCCTTCATCGGTGCTCGCGAACAGCACTTTCCCCAACGGTCTTTTACAGGCTATACGGGGGATTTTTGTCTTTTTATTGGCAAGAGCTTGTACCATCAATTCACCTTACTGGAAGAACCCACTTTAGTCACTCATTTCCCAAACTAAAATTCGAACCCAGGTTCTCAGCAGTGCCGGCTATGTGCTTTGACACATTCATTTGAGGCCTCTTGAGCCATCCGGTCAATTAGGCAAAAGAAATGTAATTTTGATTAATGTCGTTGGTTGCCCAGTGACTGACAGCCAATTCCCTGTGGCCGAAGGCACAAGTGTGATGTCAGCCGCAGATGTGCGCATTTTTTGGCCAGTGCCCTTTAATTTGGCCTCGTTGATTAGTGGAGTATTATGTAAGACGTTAGCGCATGACAAGCCTAATTTAAGTGTCCAGGTGGCCTCGGCTTTGAATACGACGAGAGGATGCTGTCTCTAACGTTACGTGCTTTTGGGGTTGTTACTTATCCAAGTGAGGTTGATTGTCCCCATGTGGTTGTTCAAGCAAGATATGTGGGTTTCCAGCTGCTGGTTACGACGTTGTGTGAGGAATTAAAGGAGTGGCTAGAATGACGATGATGTTCATAGATAATGAATGTTGAATGATCGTCCTGTGTTTAACCAGGTAAGTGACCAATTGAGATGATCCGGTTTGAAAAGGAGACATTGGTAACTATGGAGATGCAGGTCATTATTGTTTTAGTTGGTGGTAATTTTGACATTTGTGACTTGGGCTCTTGACAATCACAACTACAGGAAATGTGAACTTTTATAACGTTGGAATTCAGAACGTTGAAAAGTAGCGTAGGGCAATATTCGTTTCCATCGTGGCCTGGAGTCATTCACGAACTTTCACGGCCTCATGGCAAGGACCATTCTCACTGAAACCAGGAGACATCGCCACTGGGTTGTACTGGGAGGGATGTTGAGTGGACCCCGATCATTATCTGAAATTATAAACTTGCAGTTGTTAGTCAAACATGCTGCCCACTGCGTGCCACCCAGACAGATATTCTAAATGAAAGAAAATATGAGATTACAGTGTGTCACGTGTTTAATCCCCGTGACCTAATGCTGTAACATTAGGCTCCTTAAAAGCATTCCGAAATGCTGCTTCTGTGGTAATTACATGCAGCATTGATTTTTAGATCAGAAACAGATGACAGTGTTCAATCATTTACACTCAGGTGAGGGGCCACGGAGATGAGAAAGTCTTTTTTTGCTCAGGCTGGGACACTTAGACTGTCGCATTTTCTTAAGTCTATGATATAAATGAAGCGTGCGATGGGAAATTGCCCTCGGAAAATGTGCTTCAGGGTGACGTGAAACAAAAGTCTTTCTTCAGCGCTCGTCAAAACGAAACGTTGCAATTAGTGAAACACAAATGTGGGTAATTTATATCAA